CCCGGAAGAGGTTGGAAACCAGAGTATCCTTCTCCTTCTATATATATAAAGCAGTAAGGATGTTTGTCTGTCTGTCTGTCTGTTTGTAACCACTAGGCTCGCTCACTACGTAGGCCCATGGAAATACTTGGGGCATGGTCCCAGGTTGTCCTAAGGTCGTGTATGGTTAGGGTAGGTGTACGAGTCAATAATCGATCGATATCGATTGAAAATATCGGTTTTTGTGCAGAGGGCCCGGAAGAGGTTGGAAACCAGAGTATTGATTGGAGGCTGCGGCAAAAGTTGAAATTCCGACGGGTCACATGCTATCCTTCTATATATATAAAGCAGTAAGGATTTTTGTCTGTCTGTGTAACCACTAGGCTTCGCTCACTACGTAGGCCCATGGAAATACTTGGGGCATAGTCACCAGGTTGTCCTTCCTTCTATATATATAAAGCAGTAAGGATGTTTGTCTGTCTGTCTGTCTGTTTGTAACCACTAGGCTCGCTCACTACGTAGGCCCATGGAAATACTTGGGGCATGGTCCCAGGTTGTCCTAAGGTCGTGTATGGGTAGGGTAGGTGTACGAGTCAATATCGATCGATATCGATTGAAAATATCGGTTTTGCGTGCAGAGGGCCCGGAAGAGGTTGGAAACCAGAGTATTGATTGGAGGCTGCGGCAAAAAAAAAAAAAATGGAAGAGGTTGGAAACCAGAGTATCCTTCTCCTTCTATATATATAAAGCAGTAAGGATGTTTGTCTGTCTGTCTGTCTGTTTGTAACCACTAGGCTCGCTCACTACGTAGGCCCATGGAAATACTTGGGGCATAGTCCCAGGTTGTCCTAAGGTCGTGTATGGGTAGGGTAGGTGTACGAGTCAATAACCGATGGATATCGATTGAAAATATCGGTTTTTGCGCAGAGGGCCCGGAAGAGGTTGGAAACCAGAGTATTGATTGGAGGCTGCGGCAAAAGTTGAAATTCCGACGGGTCATATGCTATCGATTCTAAATATAATATAAAAGCAGTAAGTGAATGTTTTCTGTCTGTCGTCTGTTGTAACCACATAGGTAAGCTCGGCTCGACGTACGTAGGTCCATGGAAATAACTGGGGCCATTAAGTCCCGCAGTTGCCTAAGGTCGTGTATGGGTAGGGTAGGTGTACGAGTCAATATCGATCGATATCGATTGAAAATATCGGTTTTTGCGCAGAGGGCCCGGAAGAGGTTGGAAACCAGAGTATCCTTCTCCTTCTATATATAAAAGCAGTAAGGATGTTTGTCTGTCTGTCTGTCTGTTTGTAACCACTAGGCTCGCTCACTACGTAGGCCCATGGAAATACTTGGGGCATGGTCCCAGGTTGTCCTAAGGTCGTGTATGGGTAGGGTAGGTGTACGAGTCAATATCGATCGATATCGATTGAAAATATCGGTTTTTGCGCAGAGGGCCCGGAAGAAGGTTGGAAACCAGAGTATTGATTGGAGGCTGCGGCAAAAGTGGAAATTCCGACGGGTCATATGCTAATCCTTACTATATAATAAAGCAGTAAAGATTTGTCTGCTGTGTAACCAAATAGGCTCGCTCACCTACGGTAGCCCATGGAAAATAAATTGGGCATCGTCCCAGGTTATCCTTACTCCCTATATATATAAAGCAGTAAGGATGTTTGTCTGTCTGTCTGTCTGTTTGTAACCACTAGGCTCGCTCACTACGTAGGCCCATGGAAATACTTGGGGCATGGTCCCAGGTTGTCCTAAGGTCGTGTATGGGTAGGGTAGGTGTACGAGTCAATATCGATCGATATCGAATTGAAAATATCGGTTTTTGCGCAGAGGGCTCGAGAGGTTGGAAACCAGAGTATTGATTGGAGGCTGCGGCAAAAGTTGAAATTCCGACGGGTCATATGCTATCGATCGATATCGATTGAAAATAAAGCAGTAAGGATGTTTGTCTGTCTGTCTGTCTGTTTGTAACCACTAGGCTCGCTCACTACTACGTAGGCCCAATGTGAAATACTTGGGGCATAGTCCCAGGTTGTCCTAAGGTCGTGTATGGGTAGGGTAGGTGTACGAGTCAATATCGATCGATATCGATTGAAAATATCCTTCTATATATATAAAGCAGTAAGGATGTTTGTCTGTCTGTCTGTCTGTTTGTAACCACTAGGCTCGCTCACTACGTAGGCCCATGGAAATACTTGGGGCATAGTCCCAGGTTGTCCTAAGGTCGTGTATTATACGAAGTTATACGATCAATATCGATCGATATCGATTGAAAATATCGGTTTTTGTGCAGAGGGCCCGGAAAAGGTTGGAAACCAGAGTATGATTGGAGGCTGCGGCAAAAGTGGAAATTCCGACGGGTCATATGCTATCGATCGATTCTCCTTCTATATATATAAAGCAGTAAGGATGTTTGTCTGTCTGTCTGTCTGTTTGTAACCACTAGGCTCGCTCACTACGTAGGCCCATGGAAATACTTGGGGCATGGTCCCAGGTTGTCCTAAGGTCGTGTATGGGTAGGGTAGGTGTACGAGTCAATATCGATCGATA